CCTCCCCCGCCCTGCCTCTGAGAGCCCCCGCCCCTTGAGCGGACCGTGAGCCCGCGGGAGAGCGGTAGCGGTGGCGGCGGCGGCTGCGGCGGGCGGTAGCGACCGCGCAAGCAACAGCTTGCAGAACCCAGCGCCTTGTGACACGGCTCCCTGACATTAGTGGTGTGAGTCAGCTTGGAAACAATCCTTATGGTTTCAGACAGGGCCACGGAGAAGGCACGGACTCGGGCTTCGCTGCAGGGAGGGTCTAGATGTAGTGATGGAAGGCAGGGAAAAGGTTGGTGGGGAAAGAAGGGTGTCCTGAAGGGTGCGTGAAGAGACTTCTACAAATAGAAATTCCGGACGCTTCTCCCTCCCCCCACCAGCAGATGTCCAGCTCCTTTTCCCCTGCGGCAGTCATGACCTCATTACAATGTTCCTGCATCCTAGCTTCTCAGATCACTCACTCGACAACACTTCTCACCTCCCGCTACCCCACCTCAATTGCCAAGGAATAACTTCATTATTATGCACATTAGGGATAATACAAAGCCCCCTCCCTTTCCAAGACCACTGTTTAGTGAGCCTGAGAAACTGAGAGTTGTTTCTGGAGGCGAAAGGTGAATCACAGCTCCAGCCAAGTGATGAGCCTGATTTAGATTCAGCCTCCTAGCCAGGAAGGGCCCTTGGCGATCACTTGCAGATCCTCATCTGTACCTCTCCTAGAGCTCACAGGTTGGCAAGTGGCAATGCCAGAGTCGGAATGCAGCTTCCGGAGGCCCGGTCTGCAGTAAATGTCCTGACAGCTCTGTGAGAGAAGGAACCTGGCGTTTCAGCATCCTCCAGTCCTCATCATCGTCCTCTGCTTAATTTTCCCTCTCCCTGTGAGAAAAACTCAAAGGCAAGGATAGGCTAAATTCCAGGCCACCTCAGAAGGCCACTGTTAGCCTTGCAGCAGTTCACACTTTACAAAGTACTCACACCTGGTGAACTCTCGCTGTCTCACAATCCAGCACAAGGAGAAGAAGGATGTTGTGATTATCCCTGTTTTACAAATGAGCAATGCAGACTCCATAAGGTTAGGAGGCTGACCTGAGGCCTCTTGAACAATATAGCACTGGCACCTGTTTTCAAACCCTAAATCCCTCCTTGCTCTGTTCTCCAACCAGGAGCAAGCATGACCTTCTCATAGGCTACTGGTGGCTAGAACCTCTACTAAGGACATGTTGGCTGAGAGCTGGAGCTTTGCTTAGGAACAGTTTAGCCCCCATTAACAAACAATAATCAATCCTGACATTTATGTAACATCTGACATGTATATAGCACCTTTCAGCCCAACACATCATAGCCATGACTGTGCAGTTTGCCAGAGAATCATGACTAGACTGGCTAGAAATTGTAATGCTTTGCCTGGATTGTCACATACTTCTGAGCTGGTTTCGCCACACAAGGTGGAAGATCTTTGTGTTTTCTTTTTGTTAAGCATTTAAACACCACCCCCTCCCCCCATCCCTTTCCTTTAGTGTTCCTTGAGCCCACAGGGACTAAGGAATGTTTCTCACAGCCTCATTCAGAACTCACCACTTTTTTATTTGTTCTCTTGCATATATAGCCCTGAAGGAACTGCAAAAGATGAGCTCCAGTCCTAACTTGAATCTTAAAACCAATAAAACTTTAAATATGACAGCTCAATTACCTGGGTTTACGGAAGGAAGCAATAGCCTGCTGAGGAACAGCCTCCTTGCCCACATTCCCACTCAATTACCAGAACAGACTTTCCCACTTAGAGC